GGTGGCCAATTTACCATTTCAACTTTGTTGATATGATAATTTATTTATTTCTAGTGCGCTTTTTAACATGTAATGATCATGTAATGTTTGATTCAGGGGTTACACTGTAAAGAGAAATCAGACGCCAGTCACTCTTAGAGGTTGTGAAGACTGGGCGCGAGAGCATGACGAAGGGTTGACACTTGCACGCAAACGGAAGAAGAACAAATCTTACTTGCTGCGTTGACGAAATTCGACCACAGATCGTAAGTGACGAGAGGCTCGGCAAGATTGCGTAAGAAGTCTTTTAGCAGTCCACACACCACGTGGATATCTTCAACTTTACGCTGAAATACAAAACGACAATAATATAATTAACAAGCGGTCTAAGATAAAAATACACATTTTCACTTGCGGTTTACCAAGTCGGGAAGTTTTCCCTGCGTAAACTTCTCCTTGAGCTCCTTCACACTGCGCTCAGCCCTGGAAAAAACAAAAAGAAAGTCAATCGATGTAGTATCCCGAAACATTCGCGGTTGTGCGTAGATCAATTGGTCTTGGGCTTCCCTTCCAAAAGATATTGGTTTGCGGAATGATTAATTGGTTTGCGGAACGATTAATTGGTTTGCGGAATGATTAATTGGTTTGCCACCTGTCTTGACTCTTGTGATACAGAATGTTTTACGATCTTAGATTCTGCCGCTTCAAAATTCCAAATTAAGATCAAAGAGGCATTGCATATTAAGTGGGAAAAACCCATTCTTAATCAGCAATTGAAGCATCTAGATTTGTCTCCTTCTTTTTGATTATGTTGTTCCTTTTGTCTTTTATCATTTGTTATTATTATTACTTTTATTATTTGGTCCAGTTGTGCGCGAGCTATTTTCATTTTTCGCGTATTTAATATCCAAATTGTAACGCAAGTCCTGACACGTAATTTGTAACGCACCTTAATATATATTCAAATGTACAACCGTTAAAAGCTTATTTGCAACTGAAGATGACACGAGAATGTCGAAACATGTCTTGTAAATTTAAATGTAAAGCTGTCGTTTCTATATTGAGAATGATAAATAACCAATCAGATTAAGTTAACTAGTTTTCAGTCAATCAGGAAAAGAACCAAAACTCGTAAGGAATTAGCAAGGGCGGGAGTTGTACCGCTATTTAGACTGGTTCTAAGGTTTGTCCTTACATTTTAATACTTGTCAATTAAAGTTAGATTTCGTTGATTGGGTGAGACTTGCTTAGTTATGCACAGGTTTTTCGAAACGCACCCTGCTTTACATCACCGTATATTACGGTAACTACAGGTTTCGCTCCATTTAAAGATTTGGGGGC